CCGTGTGCCCGCCGTTCACGGGTCGACGCGATGTCCGTACGCCGTAAGAATCCGCCTGTATCACAAAAATGTCTAGATATTTTTCGGCCCGATTATTACGCCGGGCTGATCTCCTCTGGCAAATTCGCTTGTCTGCCCGTGTCCGGGTATAAGTTGTCAAGCGATCGACTTGTTAAAACCAATCGAACGTGCTTGTTGATAATCATGGGGATGTTACAAGATGCTGCGTCCAATACTAGAAGTGGCGTACGCCGTACGCTCTCAATGTCGCTACCGTGTGCACGCTTCGTGATCGGGCGTATACAATTCGCTGGCGATTTGAATCGTCGCAATCGGGCGAAAAAATACGCTCGTGTCCCCCTAGCTTTACAGAAAATATTAATTGGAATTTTGCTGTTTTTTAGAGAGCTGTATTTGACTGGGCGTAAGGAAGAAGGAACGGAAGAAGAAACTGAAGCAGGAATGGATGAAGAAGGAACGGAGGAAGGAATGGATGAAGAAGGAAAAAGTCGATTGAACTTGATGTACGTGATAGTTCATTTAGTACAAACGTATAAGTTCTAATCCCAGAATTAATATCGTGGATTCAACCATACAAAGAAACTCAACACACATGAACAAAGTCACGATAGATAGTAAGATTAGACTGGTGTCACGTAACTGGACACATCAGCAGCCATACCGCGAACGTTAATGAGTGGGGCACCGGACCAAGTACCAGTCTATTCAGCGAGAGAGGTCGAGCCGATTACGGGAGTAATGATGGAAGGTTATAGCGTAAACTGATGACTCTGTTTGTTTTCTTCATGTACGTATTTATGTAAAACACAAGCGTATTATACGCATACCGTTTGAAAAATTACAATGCGTATTTTGTATGAAATTCATAGCCGTCATTTCTAGTGACAACATGAGCAGCTATCAGGTTGAGCCAGTCTGACAATAAGGTCAACTGAAATAACCATGTACAATGGACAAGGACAGTTACAGAAGCGAAGAGTTCTGCTATAATGATGTCTCGTTTTAAGGCAAGATAATAGACCATATACACATTGCACTCGTGCCGATGAGCTATTTGAGAATCCCCGAGTTATGCGAGAGGCTTACAAATAAACGGGAGAGTTCTTGGTTTGCTATTCATTGAAAACCGCGCGGAGACGATTGAATGACGTGAAATTACCGAGAACTGGATCTTTAAACTATTTTCTGACGCTCGCTCGCGGGCGCTCCGGGCCATGCTTACGAGACTACTATCTTATCATACAGTGCTGTAAAAAGGTTAACTTGGCGAAATCGACGAGCCATTGGCTGATCCTAAAGAATCCATTACCGTCATTAACGTATAAAATTCCGAGACGGATGGTGACAATTTCCATTGGGGCTATGGTGTATTGATAGAACTAATGGAGAGTAGTGGCATGATATTGGCCAACATTCATCGACTACTTTATAGATGCAGCTTGCAACACGTCCCTCATTTTGCTATCTGCAAAGGTTACAAATGGCAGTTTTAAAATTTCGCAAGAAATTTAAAGTCATGTTTGACATTCGAATGCCTTATGACAATTTAGC